TAGCGCGAAGTATATCGCGCGTTAATTGTACCAAATTGGCCGAAATGGCAATCTTTTAACCCAAATGACTTTATGAAAAATGATCAAAGATAGAATATCTTTTCAAATTTAAGCTCAGGACAACAAAATTTTTGAATGATATAAAAAATTCCATCAAAATGGCTAGTTAAAAAAATTCGTTTGTCTGAAGAAAAAAAAAACACTCCGAGCACAAATATTCTGTTACTTTCGTTATGAAAGGCGGAACAAAAAGATCACTAAATTTCAATCAACACGTAGTTGAATCGAAGGAAGATTTTGCCGATTTTTGTTCTCTGTTACTTTGGATCTCTCTTCGTTTTCTCTTGTCTTCAGTAGTTCAAAGTTTTTGAATTCGGGTTTTTCTTGAATCTTCGAGTTGCCTACTGTTCGTCAGTTGCTAAAGACTGGATTTTTTGTTTTGAAACCAAGTGTGTAAGTTTATCATTGAATTTTTGCAGTTTGATTGAACTTGAAAGTTTATGATCTCGGTTTGTTGATAATAGGTTGAACATCACTGGAAACTTTGAACATCACATTGAAGGTTTGTCAAGGGGAGACGAACATGCATAAAATAAAATCCATGGATTTTACTCAATATTTTTGGTTATCTGGAATCGTCTAGGTTGGGTCGTTTGGCTTTTTTCAGGCTTAGTTTGGTTGTTTTCTGAATTCGTAATTTCAAACTCAAAAACTAATTAGGCATACGGGAAAATATGAAATGCTTACGAAACAAAAATTATCTGCCAACTGCGAAAATTCCTAAACATACTGCTTAGCTTTTGCAAATACCTAACTGCTCTAGTCTCCTAGGGATATTTATGAAGAAACACCAGAACGAAAAATGAACAGAACCGATCTGAGGTTTAAACGTTTTCAGCATAAATTTATTAGTGGACTTTGTGCGTCATTACGGACGAGATATTTGGGGGGACGGGGCGAAATGTACCACCAAATATACTAAAGGTGGTTGAGAGCATTGTGTGTGGTTCAAAATCTGTATAAACTGTTAATTTTGATTCAAAGTTGCTGGAGGAAGGAAAAAAACTTTGATTCAAAGTTGCTGGAGGAAGGTCTCAAAAACTATTCAAAACCAGTCGAAGAGCAGTCGGAACATTCAGGTCTTTTATCTAAAATTACCGGTAACTGATGTACTGGTGCCTAGATTTTCCTTGGTAACTGATGTTAAGGAAATTGTATCTGAAAAGTTGCAGGTACCAAAAACGTTTCGAAGTGTAGTTGGAGTTTTCAGGTCTTTGACCTGATATACGACCAGTCTTTTTGAGTTTATACTGGAAATACAAGTTGATTGAAAAGTGCAGACTGTAGGAGTACAAGGAGGAGTGCTTTTCCATGTTCTTCAGCTCACTGCCACTTCACGACGGAAACAGGAAACGAAAAGGTCAACTCTTTTGTTGTTTCGACGTTGAAAATTTGCACTTGGCGATCAAAAAAGAACAGCGCGATCCACCTAGATTATTTCTTGTTGCGTGATTATTTTTCAGTTTTTATATTAGTTTTTTTTGTCAACTTCAGTTGCAAGTTCAAAGATAGTTCTTCAACACGGTTTAATGTAACTTTTTAAGTTTCAATGAACGTTGTGAAGTCGCTTAAATAGGTGTCGTGGTTCAGCTTTTTTTCTGTCTTTTTTAACGAAAAGTATTAAAATGAGTTCAATTCATATTCATTTGCTGAAAGGAATGACGGCAAAATTCGGGCTCAAGTCGCCGGTTGACCTCCATAGACCAAAAATCATACAATTCCATAGAGTAATCTATTTCATACACTTTGCTAAAATGGTGTATCGAATTTTCAAAGAACTTTTTTCTTGTTTTGGCATAAAAGTCGCTGTATCGTACTAATTAAAAAAGAAAAATTAATTCTCCAAAAATGCTACTCATATAATTTCCATATATGAAAATTGTATGACTAGCATTTTTTTGACGACGCCAATCAAAAGTTTTCCAAATAATTTTGAAATTGCCCGAAACTTTTTTTTCAACCGCAAATCGAATTTTGTACTGAAAAAAAAACATTCACCAAAAAATTTTTGCATGGAAAATTTAATTTTGTGTGTGTTTACCGTAGTACTGGAAGCACAAAAATGGGTTCTCTTACGTTTCGCTGGATAAAAACTCAAACTTCGTAAATAATCATCTTTGAAATATTTTGCCAAAATTTAAAAGTTTGATGCTTTCATTATTTCATTTGTGTACGAAAACTCTGATACAATTCAGGTCGTTTCTAGTGCATTCTAAATGCGAGATGATCAAATCTCTTGAGTAAAACATGGTTTTTGTCACTTCTGCTTGGTCACGAACGTATTGCAAAAATTTTGAGAAATCAGATTTTATGAAAATCTTTTTTTTTGGTATATGGAGCAAGGCTAGTCATACAGTTTCCATATATGAAAAATCACTAATCATAGACCTTTCAAGCAATTTTTTATACGCATGGAATTGCAGGAAAAGTTATGATTAGTATTTTTCCATAATGAAAATTGTATGGCTAGCATTTTTGGTCAACCCGAAATTTCAAAAGTAGAAACGGCGTGAAAAGACGTAAACTACTTCTAGTTATATTTAACAATTTTCTGTTTTCAAAGCTCAATTATGTTATTGTTCAAGGTGTTTTGAATTACAAAAACAATGAATTACAGTTAAAAAATTAATCGCATTTTTTTATTTCTTTCAAAAAAAAATCGAAAACTTCGTTTTAAAAAGGCCAGTGGAACAGTCTGTGATGCTTGTATAGCATCTCGCGTAATCTTGTTGTTCTAAATTTTGAAGACAATGTAAGAGTGTTTATGCTCGGGGATATTTTTTCTAAACGGCAAATTAGACCGGCTCAAAGACTATTCGTAATTAAATTCACGCTAGGTAAATGGTTCAAATGTGTCACTTTGTACTTGAAATTGCATGAGAGCCACACTGTAGGGAAAAGAGGGGTTTAGGAAATTAGACGATCAGAAAAATGCGGAGTTTAGACGATAACTTGCCTGTAAATTGCGTGAAATTTGGTCACAGATTTAAATTAATTTTTGGCCGAGTAAATACTGGTTGTCCAACCACAAATCAGGTGATTAATGTCACAGTTGTATAGTTTGCGCATGCCAATAAATGTAATTTACTTTTTCGATTTAATATTTCAAAACTAACTTACAATAATAATTTTGATCAGTCTCTTTTTGTTTTTGCACAACTTTATTCCTAACAAAAAGTTTGTTGGCCCAGTTCTTTCGTCTATATTCACAAAAATTATCGTCTAAATTCTGTTTCTTTTCGGTCGTCTAATTTGGTTCTTATCTAATTTTCTGGGCCACGAAAAAGGTTTATGGAATAAATGAAATGTTTTCTCGTTTATTGTTATTATTTTTTAACCAAAAATTACTGTAAATGCTTGAAAAACCGGCCCAAGTGAACAATCTCCTCCTAAAATTAAATGGCAAATTCAAGCCGTAAGGCCTGCATGTACTATGCCCAAAATTGGTTGGCTGAAAAATCATATTACTTTGCACGAAATGAGCAATCTCCCCCTTAAATTGATTTAGAGGGGGGGGGGAGAGATTTTTGCTGACTTGGTCCTAGACAATTTCTGTTTTGCTAGGCGAATATGGCGACAGGACATAAAGGCGGTAAGACATTTGGACGACAAAAATGTATTAGCATTCAAAATTACTACATATACTAGCAATGCCATCTCCATAAGTTTTTACAGATAACTAACTACCTAAATATAAGAATTTTAACCGACTTAATTTCTTTATTTAGCTGCAGTTATTTTTTTTTCCGGGTAGACAGTAGTTCTCCTCGGGAAGCTTGTCAAATATTCAACCGCAAATCCTGTTCGTTATTTTTGATTATCAAAGAACAAGGAATTTTTCGGTAAATAAAAAAGAGCAAAATTTATTAGGTGTCTTGAGATGCAGGCGCAGGGAGCAGGCGCCAAAAAATATTTCCAAACCTCAATTTTTTGCCAAAAAATTTTCAAATACTTGCCTCCGTCGCAAAGTCTTATCAAAAATAAGATTTTTACAGCGTTTCTGGATAGCTCAAGTTTAGCCGATTCAAAAAAAAGCTCGATATGTTTCAATTTCTGAAAGCAATCCTTTCCCCTATCATAAAAATTTAAAATTTTCTATTCGGAGGGTCTATAAGTTAATTGGGATGGGAGGGGGGGATGGGCTATAATGGGAAAAAGCTATATTTATTTTTAAAATATTTCAAGCAATTATTTTTTTGTGTGGATCCAAGTGAGATTTTTGGCTTTCTGGAACAAAAAAAATTTCAGCTATTTCAGGAACGAATTGATTTTTTGGCTAACCGGGCAACTATTTGTTTTTTTTTCGGTTATCCAGGAACGATTTAATTTTTTCGGCTATCCGTAACGATTTCATTTTTCGGCCATCCGGGTTTTCGGCTCCGTGACACGCCACCATTTTGTCATATCCCGAGAAAACCCATTTCTAATAAGAGGCCTCGGTTGAACCTAAGTTTAACAAATTGTCTCATTTCATTTTTCACTTTAACAAAGTTATATCTGAAATATATGTTTATATCTTGTGTTGTTAACTAGCTTGGTCGGAACTAAAATATTGTAGGCATCGTTTCAGTTCCGTCTTGAAAGTTTAATTTGCAAATAATTGCCAAAAAATCTATTTACTGTGCGGACAGAATCAATCAAAATCGTTTTTTTATTAATGATTGAGGTTCTAGTTTTCTCAGGTAGCAACTTGTTTTCAAACTTGAAATTATTGCTTGCTTTTTATCCTCGTTGCCAATCTGATCGGTTAGTAAACAGGTGTAGTTATAGAACTTTTTATTTGATTGTACATGTTTGGAGTAATTTTGTGCAATTTCTTTTCATTTATTGTCAAAGAAGTTCTCTGTTCTGATTGGCTAAAATAAGTCTTAAGAAAATTTAGCCGCTTTATTTTTCAGCATTTCTTTTATCTTTTCAACAAATTTATTTTCTTTCAATCAGTCAATTTGAAAGAAATTCAATTTTTAAAGATAGTTTCCATAATCGAACTTGAAAAAAAATAATTGAGTTTCAGCAATTGTTCCTTATTCTAGAAAAGCATTTTACTAAACTAACGAAGCAAATTGTAACCCTTTTGTGAGATTACCGAAGTCAGATATTTTTTGCGCAGCAAAAAAAAACGAATTGGAGCAGCTGATTAGCTTTCATCGAAAAACCCCGCGCTTCTTTGTTTCCGCGTTTACCTGTTTGTTAAGAAGTAGTTAAATGCTAAAACTTCAAATAATTTAATAGCCGCCCTTCGTTCATTAGAATCAATAGTTTGTTTGCAATTTCATTCAATCAAGTAGAAACTGTCTTTTATGGGCATTTTGACACATTTTACCGCCTTTAAACTCCCCTATTAGAAGAGGTACTGCAGTTAGCTGAAGAAATTGAAAAAACTTCAGCTGATCAAGAGATCGCTCGTCAAATTTATTAACCTTTATTTAATGTTGCTTGTCGAGCACTGCTTCTGAAGATCAGACTTTTTATGGCTCTAGTCAAAGTTACATCGAAGATTTGTGTTGTCTTGGCGTTTTTGGCGATTGCGGTCTATCGGGCAACAGGTGAAAAAGGTAAACAGTTTCCATCAAAACTTTTCATTAAAAAAAGTTTTCGAATCTAGTCATAACGTTTTCGGGAAATCGAAGCGTCCATATATACTTTATGTTCAGCTGAAATTTTTTATTTTGTATTCAGTTGAAATGTCTGAAGTTGCAACATATACATTTCTATCATTACGTATGGGCACAAATAGTATGATGGTAAATGGTCACTGTAAATATTAGTAAGTATGGAAGTTCGGTCCGTCGTTATTTTAAAAAACGAATTGATTAAATTAAGAAAATAGGCATCCTGTTTTTTCAAAATTTTATTGTCTGTCAAATTCTGTTTTTCTGGCATCCTTTTTGGGAATTGTGGTCTCACTATCCGAATTGCACGATCTAAAATTTTTTTAATCTCCGATTATTGGTCTGATCCAATTAGGGTTAAATGATATCAATTTTTGTGAGTACTAATATCTTATAGAACCACATTGTCTCCGAGTTTGATATCTCCAAAAGTCTCTATCTTAGATTTTTTCCTATAAGAACCTTGCATTTTCTTACAAAATTCGACCCTAATATTGTTACAAGATGAGGATTTTTCTCATAGAAAATCTTTATTTGTAAGTCAAGTAAGTTTCGTACAACATTTATGAACTCTTTCATCGAAATTTTTTTAGATGCTAATAAACTCCAATGAGTAAATGTGTTGCAAAAACAATTGTGAAGTTGGCGACAGATTCAAAAATACATTTTTTTGATTAATTTACTTCAACAATCTAATATATAAAGCGTTTGCCATTTCCACATGTTTTGTAGTTTGTTCGAATAAACGTAATCGATTTTACAAATTTAATCACTATTAGATGCATTATCGAGCGATCTTGACGTTTCATCTGTGTTTAAAATAAATCTGTTGCGAATTTTGAGTTTTTCGTGCGTAAAATTGGCTTTCTGTTTTTTTCCTTCTTTTTCCTAATTTTTATTTGAAAAAAAAGAAAAGATCAAAAAATATCAATTGTTGCAATACGAAACTAATGATTTTTTTTATCGTAAATGGCGTTTTTTTGAAAGAATTGTTATTTTTAGTCTTCTAAGGGATTTAAAATTAGAGTTGAAGTTCAATTTGCATTTTCCCATAGATTTCAGTCATTTCAATTCATTTATCTTATTTATAGGTCTCGTTGGAATTGGCATGAAAAATGTCTACAAAATTTTTATGGATCGTGTCCTTTTTTGATTTATGTCTTTCAAAGCAGTGCAAGTGACTATCAATTAATCAGGTGTGCTTTGAGATTTTTAATCCCACACATAAAATATTCTTCATTCCGTCACAAAAATTTTAAAATAAAAATGCTAAGAAATGATTGATGTCCTGATAGATATTATCGGTGCTGAATGCAGAATTTTAAAAAAGGAATGAGGGCAGTTTTTCCGGGTAAATTGAACATCTTAAAATTTTTATGTTTTTGTGTAAAGTTTTTGCCCTTCCGGGCGTGTTCTGCTCGGATTTTTGTGTACATAAATTTATGTTATGTTTCAGCACCTCTTTACTCCTCATTTAAAAGTGCCAGGGACCCTTGGATTGCATTGTCCGAAACTGGAAAAACCAAACACGGCGTAAGTATTCCAGAATTGACTTATAAAAACTTTGTTGACAAGTTATTCAAAACATTCCAAGATAATGTTTTCGTGTGGTGTATTTCGAGAAAAAGTGTTTGCTCTCTAATTTATTGTTTTTTTTGTGCATGATTGATAAAAAAAACTGTCTATCAGAATCGAATTTAAGCCTGTCTTTGCTTTTAATACCGGGCTTATTTCATCATTTTGTTGACCTCACGGTTCTCAATTTCATTTTTGTATGATTTCACACTTGAAGGCTTTCATTTCACACTCTGTTTTCTTCGTCCAGTAGGGGAAAAGTCTGAGAAAGGTTAAAAGCCAGCCAGGCAAACAAATGCTGACCAAAATAGTATTAAACCATGGAAAAGTACAATTCAAACAACAGTACAGAAAACTGAACCGTATCATAATTCTAATTTTTTTCAACAAGTTCAACATTGAGTACAATGTCTGATTCAGAGAACAAAAAAAGGAAAGTTTAAAACATGAATCGGAGTTTTGCTCTCTCTTAGAAAAAAAACATAAATGTTTTGTGAAAAAAAAAAGACTTCGCAGATACAGATCACAGCTAGTCCACTATCCTGTATTATAACATACGATTACTGTTTCTGTATAACTTTTAGTACATATAAGTATTTTTTGGGTTTTTGGTTTAATTTTTGTTTTAAAAATATTTCAGTGGGTCCACCAAGAGAAGCTGAAACAGTACCATGTGTGTGACTCTGACGTAAAAGGCGCCGACAACCGCCTTGTGAGTCCATTCATACCCATAAACAATGCCAAGTGGCTCGAAATAGACATCAAATTCAGAATAACCCCGTGCGACGATCTCCCTTCCGGTAAATGCCAGAGCGAGAGCCTTCAAATGGGATATGTTGGAGCCAACTCTCAAATAGTGCGCCCGCGGGTACCCAAATTCGATTATGAACCAATCGAAAGTAGCATGCTTTTTCCTGATTCGAGTTCCGAAGGCAACTTCCAGCAAGCCCAATTGCTGATCGACAAGCTGGACGACCAGCACCCAAAAGAAGGCATTTTTCTCGTCATACACGACACTGGCTCTTGTTCGACTGTTTACGACGTAGTCGTGACTTATTACTTTTGTCCCGATACGACGATATCCCTTGCAGACTACAAACGCATTGCAGCTCCTGTGTCTATTTATCAGGTTGCAGATGGCGAGTGCGTAGCTAATGCAGAGTCGTCTTCTCCTCCGAAGGCAAAGTGTAGTTCTGGCGATGGATCGTGGACGTCATTGCGAGATACCTGTCGTTGCTCGGCGGGGTACGAACTAGTGGATGGGCAATGCAGAGGTCAGAATATACTTTTTAAAGATCCATCAATTTGTTTTATCATTTGCTTGACTGATCCTCACCAGTGTAAAAAAAGCCTTAGATCATCGTGAAAGTCTTCCCTCTAGGTTTTTGTTTGAACTCAAAACAGGCCTGCTCTCGGTTAACTTAAACTTCTCGGTCTTTGTGATCTCTTATCATTTAACTAGCAAATGGACCATCCCATACTATTTATGGTTTGCATTAGGTAAGGCAGTTTATCTTTTTCATTTCATTATTTTTAAGGCCAACTTTAATTTTATAATAAAAAATATTTCAATTTTCGTTCTAGTTCATTTTTTGCAGATTCTAGACACTGCGTGATGAAACATTTGCAAAACCCTGGACTTGTTTCCGTTCGGTTTCTAACAATTGATAAACATTCATTGCGAAGTGGAATTTGGTGAACAAGATGTGAAACAGATTGTGCGTAACTTTTTTTTTCAGAATCGAATGTTTTCATAATATTCTTTCTATCGAATAATTTTCTTTGAGCGTTCAATACGTTTGAAATTCTTTTTAATTTTTTTTGGGTAACTTTAAGGTAAACTATCTTTTTGAGTTTATTTTGAATGGGTAGGGTAGAAATAATTCTTTCCTTTGTTTTTATTTTCCATATTCCAATTAACAGCGTGATAGCCAGCTTCAAGATCGCGCCCAAGGTGCAAGTACACTTTTCAACGCCTCCCCATCTTACTTTGCATATTTTGTCGTATTGTTGTCCAATTTGTTTTGAATCAAGGTTCGATTCAAATGCTCAATTGAGCTAATTTGAGGGAAAAGTTTGAACTGCTAGCTCTGAAAAAAAAAAATCAAAAATAGCCTCATCTGGCTCGTAAATTGCGGCGGGTATATAAAAATTAATACACTCGAGTTAAAATAAAATTTAATCCCAGGAAATTTTTGCGTCGAATTAAGTCATAAATTTCAGTTAAGCGGTTAGAGGGTTTATTCAACGCTATTTATCTTGTGCAACTGATGTAAATGTATCGAAATCTTGATTGATTGTTTTACGAAGCTAATTTTGGAAATCGGATTTTGCTCTCGATTCCTCGCGAAAAGCTGTAATCTCTATTGATTTTCCGTAAAAAGAGTTGAAAATGTTCAAAAGCCAATCTTTTTGGATCTGATTTCTTCAGTTTTTTAAACTGTCATAAAAAGTAATCTTTTATTCAACGAGAAATTAAATTTTGTAAGAGAAGCTACTATGTTGCACTAGAGAATTCAAAGAATATCAAACTAAATTGTGGGTCAATTATTTTATTTCTTCAAACAATATTTCATATTGCGCTGATTTCAGATTAGTTGGTCAGATTTGCTACCGTAAATTTGAACGGCAAAAGATTGACTGTTGATAATAAAAATAGCTGTTAGATCGCTTTTAATGTTTCCAATTCCCAGAATGGTCTTAGGTTGGGATTTAATTTTCTTAACAGTGACTCTCCTGCTTGTCAAGAATATGTCAATTTCTTCAGAGGTGTTTTGATCACTTGCTTACTATAATTGTGAAAACAACTTGTAGTTTTCGATATATTTTTGTGTTTAATTACTGTTTGTTTTTCTATCGGTTTGGCCAAGGGCTCAACTGGCGCGATATCGGGGGGAAAACTTTGGGTAAATTAGTTTTGGCTTAAAAAGCAATCCTTCTTGAATTGACATTTACACTGGGTGCTTCGACAAAAATTATCGCTCATGAATTATCAGCAATGCTTCCTTTAGTTAGTTTGAGTGAAGGCGAGAGAAGTTTATTAAATTTCAATTTGAAATCTAATCGGCCATTGCAACTTAGATAAACATCGGACCACTTGGGTCTATGATTGAATCGAAACCAAAAACATAACCAGGCCATTCCTAGGCAAGGAGATTAATTTACGAGGACCGTCGAACGTTATGTAGTTTTCAGCAAAGCTGCTCATGATTCATAATTTCAGAACAATTAGAAAATTAAGAAGCTCAAAATCAAAATTTGGAGCGAATTTTTTTTAAAAATATCTGATTTTATCCTGGTTTTGTACAGTGTTCTATATTGATGTCAATTATAACTTGAAAAGACTCAAATTTTTGAGGTTGCAGACGATAGTTACGGTAAGTATGAAATAATAGTTTAATTTGAATAAGTAGGAATTGAGCCTTTAGCTCCAATTTTTATTTTATTCCAATTTTTTTTTCTTCAGCATGTCCGGCTGATTTCTACAAGAATGAAGTGAGTAACGACCAGTGTCGCAAATGTCCCCCCGGCAGTACTACCAAATACCTCACTTCCAGAAGCAGGGGCGTCTTCTATGGGGGCTCTGTCTCGGAGGGGGCGCAGCAGTGCGAGTGTGAGGGGGGCAAACACCGAGTCAGCAGTCTCAATCCAGACTCGCCATGCATAGGAATACCTTCTCCGCCCAGGTGGGAACCATTCATCAAAATTGTTTTGTTTTTGTTTCATATCAAAATATATATAACCAAATTTGTAACTAGGAAAACTGCATCTGCTAACGATGAAAAGAAAAACGTTTTTCGAAGATTTTGTCGACTTGTTTTTATAACACGACAATGACGTTTTATAGCCTTTTTGGAAGGTTTTGATTTTAAAAAAATGCGTTTTTGGCGCTCGTTTTCCCTCAAAACTAGATTTAGTTGGCACCTAAGGCGTCTTTCGAAATCTTGTAGAGTCAATCAGCCAGAAATGGCTGTCATTCAATAGTACCAAAAAGAAGACTCTTTGAAAAATATGGCAACCATAGTTAAATTGTTATGTTAGTTCATTTTTTTTTGTTTTTTGCAAAAATCGTCATAACCGTCAGCCGATAAATATAAAAGAAAAAGATTGTCAAAATTCTGCATGTTGATTGTGCTGATGGCTTTTAATTTTGTCAATTTGCTGAATTTTGATTTTGCCACTGGCATTTAATTTTTTCTGCCAGATTAAATTTCAGAAAGTTTGTTTTTATCAAAATTGAATTCGCCGCAAACACAGGAAGTCTTAATTTTCGCATTTTATTTTGCATATTGTATAACGGAGATTAAATTGCACCCGAGAACCGAAATTCCCATTTTAAAAAAATTTTTAGAATCGCGAAGTAATTATTTTCAGCTCCCAGTCCCATTAAAATATCATGTTAGCTCGGGCAAAATTATCTTAGTTAGCGTGTTGGTTTCAATATTTAGCTAATTTTGCGTTCTCATTAATTTTTTCTACTTTTGCTCGATAATTTTCTTTTGTTCCTCAGGTCATTCTCAGCTTTGTGCAATTTTTTCATTTTTATGGATTAACACGAGCCGAATTTAATTCTTTATATATTTTGTTTGATTTTTTAGTTCAATGTTGAAAAGCATATGTGAATAAGCTCGCTAAGTATCGAACGGGGCCGTTTTATTGCTAGCTTTCTCAAAAGAAAGCAAACTTTGATTAACAACAAATGACCAGTTTATGTCACTAAAACATGTAAAATAAAATTATAATACGTAAATCGTTAGTTTAAAGAAAACACTTGGAAGTAAACTGAGTCTTACAGTTACTTTAAGGTCGTTTTTAATTCAAAACTGAAACTGGCATAAGTATGACCAAAAATTCTCGATTGAAAATCGATTTTTGGGGCCGCTCTAACCAACTCCATCTGGGTGATAATTCAGGTCTGAGAGGGGGATCAAACTTGGGATTATGGGGCGGGTTAAAGCCCGTAAATTCAGTCAGTCAATAATACTCATTTGAAATCATTTTCTGGCGTGTCTTTTTGCATCAAATAAAAAATCTGGCACTATGAAAATCTGATTTCACAGTTTTACTTGTCAATAGCTGCAACGAATACTTGTAATTCGTTGCTCTTAAAGTAGAACTAAGAATACCTTGCTCATAATGAAGGGACCAAAAATGGTTGGCGACAGCGAACTGAACAAATCGTGCCCCGGTCCTGTTACCTTTTCTTTATGAATAATTGGCCTTGGTGCGATTTATTAATAAAATATTTTCAGCCGTAATCCCAGTTTTGATAACCAATCACTTTCATTCTTTGTGTTTGGCTTTGAAAAGGGCGGGCCCCATTTGAACTTTGATCCGATATCTCATCATGTTGTCAAACAACTAATCTCCGCTCTGAGACGAGTCCGCGGCGGCCGCTTTTAGGGGCATTTGGCCTGTCAGGGGATCTCGTTGTGATCTAAAGATGTACGTTCTTTTTAATCCGGTCTGGCAGACATTTTTTCCGCTGAAAAGTTCCTCGCTTCTGCCTCAATTAAATATATATCAACATTTTTCATTCAGTCGAAGTTCGCTCAAAACTCCTAAATTTAGACTTTACCTGTGTGTATGAAATTAATTCTTTTGTTGACGCGTTTAGATATTATTTTCGGTCAATTAGAGTTTTTTATACTTCACATTTTTTCTGACTACTACACATTTTTTGTCTTTGTATAAAAATGAATATCAATACTTATATAACATGACAGTAGGATAAGTGATCGATCGTGTAGTTGGTATTCAGTAGGCGGTGATTTGTGGTGTGCGTATGTGTGGTATGGCGATGGTGCATTTTAGGCAGAGTGGCATTGCTTTTAAGGCCCAGCTATCCGAATCTCTGGGGGCAGTTGACTAAAAGGCGCCCGATCTGATTAAGACCACGCGAACTTCTCTGCTTTAACTAGAACAGAACAAAACATGGATTATTTAATCAGAGCTGAAAATTTCAAAATCACTTCTGAAATCTAAATCAGAAAGTGCATTAATTTTAAGTCTTCGCAGCCGCCTCTGATATTGTCCATGGCTGTTGACAACGTTATCTCGAACAGAAACAGAATTAAATCTAAAAATATTATAGATTAAACTAAGTTTTTCCGAAACTATATTTGATTTTGAATACGAAAAAAAAGAAAGACGGAAAAAATGAAAGTAAAAATTTCCTTATCGGCTTATCTGAAGTTTGCAGCTACACTTAAATTGAGAGGTCAATTTTTTCATTTTTCACAATTAGCAACAAAAATTTAATCATATTTTCACTGCTTCCTTTTATTTTTGCAAGTAACAATTTAGCCATTTTTTGCAATTAAGGCGATTAAATTTGAGCTGAACTTTAATGCCAGAAACTCGATGGGTTTCATTTACTTAAATGAAATGTTAAAAAAGAGGAAGGATGTTGATATTGTTTTCTTTTAACGAGTTTATCGCTCAATCGTATCGTATCATTGTCCCATAAAGTCTCAAAAATGTCTCTTTTTGGCTTCAGTTAAGAGGCTGCTGTCTCTTTTTTTTCCGCGGTTTTTAAGCCGCTCTCTTTTTAGATTTCACTAATTTTTCTCTTTTTTTCCCTGCTGAAATTGAGTATAATAGTAATCTAGGTTTCCGTTACTTATCAAAGAAAAAAGTCGAACTAAAGCTAGATGCTGATTAGCAAGATATGCAGTAATTGCGCAGTTGTTTATGTGGAGTATTTTAAGAATTTATATCAAATTGCTTATTGCTCTTTCCATTAAAAAAAAATTTGGTACTAGTGATAGGATTCTTATTGTTTTTTGATAATAGCCACTCAAAAAGTTAGAAAACTATTGTTTCATTGTTCGTGTTAATTAAAATTTAAGTTGTTTCAGAAAAAAAAAATTATATTTTTTGGTCTCTGTAAACTATCGCAATAATATAACAGAAACTATTTCATCTAACTAAAAAGTACTCTTTCATTCCTTCATGAATGGATTTGAACACACCTAGATTGTTGTATCTCAAACATAGCTATGAGTACGCCTACATGTAAATAGTTGAAAGAAAATCCGATTCGTTAATTGTTTGGTTAGTAGTAATGCCCACCTTGTAATGATTGACAATGTTTCGTCGAAACCAGGCTAGAAAAATACAATTTGAGTCATCATACATAAGGGGAGATTGTCTTCATGTGTATAATTTAGTCGTAAGATACTCTGTTTTGACCCGGTCGGAGCCTAAATTGGGGTCAAAATACCAATTGAAATGTAATTAATTTCAGGTCTTATGAACTCATTCATTACAAATAAGTTTCAACGAATTAAACCTAGGATACTTACATGTAGAACGCCTGGTTTTGTTATAATGTTACGTTTGAGATTAATTATCTGTTCTTTGGACTTTTTTCAGGAATCTATGGATTCAAAAAAATTATAGTCTGAAAATAATTCGGTTAAAATATACAGATTTGTATATACATTTTGATATTTTCAAAGGCGCTTGATCATTAATGCTGCGCTTTTGTCTCAGGAATCGGTTCTGAAGAATTCGATTTTGGTGTAAATTTATTCATGATAACCGACATTAAGTGAGCAACGAAAAAAACTACCGTTTTGTGCTTCAGAAATGTGAAGCCAGTTTTGCATGGCTTAACAGCCAAACTGAATTGGGAAGTTCCGGCCAAAGACGGAGGAGCTGGCCAGTACCCCAGGAATGTCTGGTACACCATCAAGTGCACATCGTGTATGCCGAAAGACCCTCTCACTTACAATCCCCACCAGCTCAACATACCCGGTACCTGATCGCAATTTTAAAGAACATTTGGGGGGTCATATTTTGTTCCGGGAAAAAGCGTTTCTAACTTCGTAACAGAAATGAGTTTTACTTGACTGAAATTGTAATTAAAAAATTGTGGCCAAATTTTATTTTTTTTTCTATGGATAAATGTTTAAAATACGATTGAATATCTGATTTCAAAATTTTTAATACAGTTTTTGGTGTTCTAATAAAATAGCATGAGCTAACAAGAAAAATAATTTATGGTTTTCATGTTATAATAGTCAAATATGCATTATATGAATATATAGTTCAATTTTCGAAATCAGTCATCGTTTGACACCGAGCCTTTAGACTGAACTCTAGCCGGCTGTCTGGTGACTTAGAAATGGGTTGTAAAGTTTACACTTTTGTGACACAGGCACTGCAGTAACTATTGGGGGTTTGAGGCCAGACACTGCGTACACGTTCAAAGTGTTCTCCGAGAATGATGTCACAGGAAAAATGAGTCAAGACAGGAAGAGTTCAACCGAGGTCACTTTCAAAACTGAACCGGCCGGTAAGCGAAGTTCAAGAAGTTTTTTTTTCAGCTTTATGTTTTTTCTTTCAAAAATGGTAGCTGACTTAATAAAAAAGATTATTTAAAAAATGGAATTTGAGGTATTTGAGGGATTATTTAAAAAATGGAATTCAAGATTTGTTGATGTATTGTTGTAATTATTATATTTGAAAAATTCGTCTGTCGAAAAGACAGAAGCTTGAAAATAATTTTTTAAATTTAATGAAGTACTAATTTTTTTTTCGCGTTTCAGCCTTCGTGCAGAACCTTAAAGTGGAGCAGAGTTCTAGTACCTGGGGAGGAGGGGGTCACTCGATTAGAGTAGTGTGGAACCCCCCTGCAGTACACTTGAATACTCCCCCTAAGTACTGTGTGAGAGTATTCGCTGACAACAACAACGTCCGCTTCGACAAAGTCAACTCGACCAAATACACTCCAATTGGTATGTTGCTCGACTTTTGAAATGTCCGATTTTCAAACAATTGGAAGTTTTTGGGGATCTCTGTAACTGCCCCGAGTAAATTTCATATTGTCCTGTGTCATAATTGGGAGGGGAGGGGTGAATGCTGTTCTCAAAAACTACTTTCATAAGAACCGCCTTGAAATTCATTTGAATTTGGGCTCATTTTTATTCAACTTGACTTGTTTCAGGTTTACAACCAGGAAACTACGCGTTCGATGTCAGTGTTTATGGCTGCGAAGGTCCCTTCAGCCAAAAAGTCACAGCTCTAGTCTCAGGTAATTCAGCCCAAAACCAATCAATTCAACCCGGCATTTACGGAGCCGACTTCAAATAAAGCCGTCTTTTTAATTCCGCAGTTACAACAGTTTAAATCTTGTATTTCCTAGTTAATTTACAAGATATGTCTCGATTTAATCTGGATGAAAGTTGTGTAACATTCTGTAATCTTATGTAATAGGTAATTTTAGTCGCATATGGGATCGATATCAAGTATTTTTTGGGCCTACTGGTAATTGCCTGGTTTTTCTTCGGGATATTTTTTGCCTGCTTGTGCCTGAGTTAATCCCTTTTATGGCGCTGTAAACTGAATTACATATCTGATCCAGGACCTCAAATTTTCACATTTCCGCTCGTTTTTTAACCATGTTAAATGTTTCACTATTTAATGGGCTAAATTCTCTCTAAAGAAAAACGTAAATTTCGATTTGTTCTGTACTTTAATTTATTGTTATTGAATAACTTTCTATGTAAAAGCAGAGAATGAATGACTGAAGTTGCTTAAAATGTAAATCTAATGCATAACTTCCCTTCTTTGGCATTTGATCGATCTTTTTTTTTTTTCAATTCTAAAAGTGATTGAATTTCTGAAGAGTGCAGCAATTTTTTAATAATGAGTTCTAAAGTGGAATTTTATTTGAAAGCATTACTTCTAGCCATCTGTTATTAAAAGACTAATTTTTCTAATTTTACTGCTCATTTTTTGACAAAAAAGATTGACGGAGCCGGCCCCATGCTTGGTCTAGCAACATGAAAACAAATCTCTTCACGGGAAGCGCAGCCAGTTTTTTTCTTCATCCCATATAATGAAATAGTTGTGGTAGTTAAATTCAAATATTACTTCAACATTCATAAACTCATCAACGAAGTCCAAACATATGTGTACTTTTTCTATTTTCTTTTTCTTTATACTTAATTGCAATCTGTTCCTTCCCCCTGCCAAAAATAGCTAAAAATTTAAAGAAGAAAAATTGTTTCATTTTTTCGAAATGATTACTGTGGTCGTGAATTGTTAACTTCATGCCTCTTGCACCGCAAATGACTACTTTTTAACAGCTTGAAAGGCTGAAGTGCATCTTCAATTTTTTTTTATGTAACATCAGGTTTCTTGCAATTGGATTTGCTGAAGTAAAAAACTCTTAATACATTTTAAAACCTATGCATCGGTTCTTTCGAAGCTTCTTTTTTCAACAAAACACAATTGTATTAGTTTTTGTATTTCGCGAGCTTAATAACGGTTTCTTTCACCTTCAGAACTGAAAAAGGGTGGACAATAATTGAGTTAAACTGAACTTAATTTTCTTTTTACGTATGGTTAATTTTGTTTAGAAGACAGAATGCTGGCACAGGAGCGTGCGCAGAGAATAACTATGGCCATAGTGCTGGTAGTGTTAGTAGTGGTTCTACTAGCTGTGGTCGTGAGTGCGGCCATGTGTTTCTACAGAAGAAAGCGACATCTGCATGGGTATCAGTGGACGGATGCCAGTTACTTGGTCGAGTACCCCTGTCACTCTGTCGTGCCACCGGGTGGTGCAGGACTCCACGGGGACCACGCAGATCGTAAGTACCTATATCAATTCTTTCCAATTTAATTATCCCCCAATTCCACGAGTTTTTACTCTTTTTTAAGTCTTTTTGACAGTAATGAAGCGAAATTTTATGCGAAAAGTTTTGCTGCAATTAAAAAATTTTTCCTTTTGGTGCCATTTTCTTGTGTCAAGGATATTTCAATTCTGTTAAAAATGTAGGTTCTATAAATTGCTCCGTAAAAACCTGGAATCGTTTGTACATCTATTTTTTTCCAAGGTCAGTGAACTTGCTTTTATGATGATTAGAAGATATCATTTATGTATGCTCCACCCGAGCGATAACTTTATCTCGCAGACATCATTTTATTCGCAACAATATTTTTGATTAGGCTGTTACAAAATGTCGCTTCATTTTAAAATTTATATACTAATACATAGAGTAGTAATTGCTATCATATAAAAGAAATAAGTTAGCAATTTGATAATGGATCTATCTGCTGTATCTTTTATTTTATCCCAGCTCATGTAAGCGTTTTTTCTTCTGATGAGCTGCTGGCCTTTTAAAGTGCATTATAGTGATTAAAGCGGACTGTGTGTTGCAATTAACCATTCAGGTTCTAAGTGACTGGGCTACTTTTGAGGCGACTTGTGCCTTTTGTCTCTCGGGATACGGGTCTCTCTCCGCGAACAATACAACCCAAATTCAAAGTTAAACAGCCCATTCTTTTAATCATCTTCAAGTTCCAACTTTGAAAAAACTTAATTTTTTTCCATCTCTTCTCTTTTTTTTGCAAAGAATTGCATCATCGATGGGGTATTGAACGCTTTTGAAACAATTTAAATTTTGTATGTAGATAAATTTGATTTTATTGTTTAAATTTTTTTAATTCCTGCCTAATTTTCTTAATTTGAAATTGCAAAATAAGTTTCATAAGCTGGTTCTAAAACTTGGATGTTTTAATCTGACTTTCGAAGAAAACAAGGGTTTTCGTTTATTTTTGCGGCTTTTTTACTGGCCAGTTCATATATCTTACATTTAAAATAGAATATAGTGGTTGTTTTTTTGTCCATATTATTTGGTCCATAGAAGCGTTTGTTTTCCATATTATTTGACCAGTTGAATTTCTTTGAAGGAACCACAAATCCCCAACTGACAAATGGTTTATTGTTTCAACTGGTTGATTGGCAGTAATCAAATTCCTTAAATTCAAGTTGGACAACAATGCTTTCGACTGTTTTCGGATTATCAATGAAAGCAGCGCCGATTTTGCTTAATATAGGTTAGAAGAAACTAAATTCTTTCATTGCAGACAACATGTAATCAGTTTTGGAAACGTTATTTAAATCATTTCGTTTCACCTCAAACCATGTGTGTTTTGATATCCAGCCTATAAAAAATGATAAGCTAATTTTTATAGTAGTTGTGATTTTTTGGGGAGTTTTGATGAAGGAAAAGTTTTTGTATTTGCTTAATCTCACCGAAATTACTAATTCTCATCCGAAAATAGTTTCACGGCTGGCCAGAATTTTATGTTTTTAACCGTGACTTCTCATTGAACGATTTTTCGGATGCTCAACGTGATTTTTTGAAATTGGCCCAATTTTGTCATTTTGAGAAGTTCCTGTCAGAGAAGAGAAAAGACAAATTTGAGACCATTTTGCTCTAATAAGTCCCCACAATTGAAATTAAAACCACCCTTAAATCAGCTGATCTGAGAATTACTATAATAGGCGGTCCTTTCAGAAATCACAAGCGATCCTTAATGAGGCGCCTTTGAACAAACAGCAGGGTATTAATATTCATTTTTATCAGACCCTATTTTTGAATACCTTTTTCCTAACTTTTAGAAGCATACCAGCGCATAATTGGTCTGGATTTTTTCGGTTTTAAAATGAATAGCGGTTGCTTTTTAGCCTCTAGTTCTAGTTTTGCAGCCCAATTCTAGGCGACTAGCGCTTAGTTATTTTTGGTGTAAATCTTCAAAAATAGGTCAGTAATTGCTGCCCTGTTTTGTGAATAAAATCCTGATTATAAGCATTGTGTTTTCTGATATGCCAAGAAGACGCGTTTTAACCTGAGATGGTTTCTTACCATTGAGACAGTATAAGCTGCGCCCTGTTTTTCTCCTTAACCGCAGGCTTCCAAAATTGGATAATGGGTCCAAAGTGGGAGCAGATTGCTGTTCAGACTCTTTATGCCTAATTCGCGCCAATATTTCCATGTTTTGTGCTTCGTTCACCTAGGCTTCAAAGACCAATTTTTTTCTAAGACCTGTCAATCATTCAAATCGTGTCAGTCTAAATCGCTTTTCAGCTCTTTTTCTTTTCTTACTTCACATGCCAGATATTTTGCATGTAGTGTGTTATCAGTAACAACCATTTTAGCATCAAGCGCCTTTTTGTATCTTTTCTTCGCCTTTCATACATGATGGCTGACATAATCGATCCTTATCAATTGGCTTGAAAGCAGATTTCCTATTAAAAACTTCAATTTTCTTTGCAAAAGCTTGCAATTTTTATAACGACAATCTTTCTTTTTCCTTTCCATTTTCCACAGTTTCTTTCATTTTCCAGGAAAATGAGTACAATTTTATCAGTAAAATTCCAGCAATTTTCAAATTGACTGCATCCGATTTCATAGAAAAATTACTTCTAGATGTCTTCGACAAGTTTTCTAGTTTCCTTTTTAATTCAAAAAATTAGCTTTTTTCACTTGACATTTGAAAAGTTGCCGCAAAAATTAGAGAACAGGTGATAAGTGGGATGGATTGTGTAATTAGACGAATTTGCCTCCTGTCAAATATTGAAAAGAATTATTTGAACTAGGCAACACCTAATCCCGCTCCCCATCATTGCGACACATTGCAATATAAACAGCAATGTCCAAGGGAGTCCCACTTAATGCACTGTATTCCCTGGGGCTAAGAAAAAGTGTCATTTTGAAATATGACAGTTTGTTTTATTGGAAAATCTATATTCATTTCATTGATGGACTGCATTGTTTCACCAACCCATAGCTCGTATTCACAATACCGCTGCCCAAAATAAGCATTAAGGCGTGAAATAGGTTTTAATTTAGATCCACAATGCATTTAATATGACAATATTTGTTTTTAAGAAGGCAATTTTTTGCTAATCAATTTGGTCAGGTGTGGTGAATCATTTGTTATCTTGAGGCTAAGGCATTTTGAATTTTGCAAATAATTTGTCAGGCGAAGAAAACATCGCAGCAGCACACTTGAAACTCATAGTTTAGTTTTAATCGATCGATTGAAAAATAAGTTTGCATCGCTTAAAACGAAGTCAATCAAGACACTCAAGTCCAAATCATCAGAGTTATGGACAAGAGATGATACTTGAGAGAATTGCCTTCAGCTCTTTAGTGAGACAAGAGATGTGCTATAATGATCGAAAACAGACACAATCAAGTAGTAAAGTACTTTTTCATGATAAGATGGCAACATCATTTCTCCTTTTCACTTTCGTTCGAGAGGCGTCAATTATTTTCAAATTTTCTCAAAATGAGATTTTTTAACAATTATTATTTTTATTTATAGAAGCTCATGTGATAAAAAAAAGTCAAATTGGGAAAAGCAAATTGGGAAAAAAACAGGCTACAAAAAAATCTGTTAAAAATCCAAAATTGTGAAATTTATGTAAAACTTTTTTCATGAGCAAAGAAATGAAAAAAAAAATGTGTTTTTCAAACTGAAACTAAAGATTTCTAGCGTCCCTTTGTCTGTCTCTATTGAGGAGCTGCAGCCTTAAAATAAAAGTGATTTATTTAAGATCCCTTATCACCCATCCATCCATCCATATGTCAGTGCAATATGTTCATAAATCACTGTCTGTCACGCATACATAACAATGCGAAGACACACACGACAACTTATGTTCTATTGATTTGACCAATTGTCGATTGCGCGAATCAGTCTATGAGTTACGCAATTTATATGCAACGAATGAATGATGCTTTCAGTATGATTATACCGTGGTATCTGATCAAAATAATGGAATCTCGTTAGCTATCCCCCCTCCCTATGTTACCTTTTAACGAATCCCCCACTTATTAAAAAAGGATTGAACAGTTAAGTATGCGCAAATTTTGTACCGTGTAGCAAATAGTTAAAAAGATCCAAATAATGCTTATCGTTTATATTTTGACCTCTGAATTAAGTTTTTGTTGAAAAAATTGAAGTTTGGAAAATGGAGAATATCTCTGTTCGTCAAAAGTAAGCGAGCCAAAACTTTTATCGGTTTTCGCTCGAGCAATTGAATCAATTCAATTGCTGCATAAAAACGCATCATTGCTTTCTTTTCTTTCTAATTAATTGTCTCTTGAAATGATAAGTATCAAATGATATAATTTTGGAAGTTAACTGATCAGCGATGAGTGAACTTTTTTGATTTATTTTGTCCGAAGTCCTCTAAAGGTATCTTTTTGCTTAAGTGTTGCTTTAATCTTGTGTCACTTTTGTAACTGATTAATTGCAGTTTTGTGACATTCTTAGGTGCCATTTTTATACCTTTCATTCATAACACAACGCTGTTATGTCTTGCGCGCCTATTCTTCGCCGATGCTTCAATTAAAGCCTTTGAAAAGTCTTCTGTTATCTTTAGCAAAACGAGAAAAAAAAATCAAATAACATCTGTTTTAAATAATGTGTTTATGAAAAATGTTTTTGTTAAAAAGGTCTTTGCCTAAGAGAGAAATAGTAAGTGAAAATTGAAACAAGCGGAAACATGACAGGTGTTTGTGTTCGTAAAAAGATGTGACCAATTAATTAATCAGCACACCTTTCGTTTAAAAGTGCGATGACCACCTCTGACAAAAGCAACCAATTTCTATTCATAAGTTCACTCCTCGCCCATAAAATATGCAGAGGTTGACACACAAAAAGTACCTCTTCTGATTAGGTTGACATGTTTGTTTAGCAGAAAAAAAAATCAGCAATAAACATGTGTTTGACTGGACATTAAATTAAAAGCGTGTTTTTGAGATATTCTTGATATATCCACAAAAATTGAATATTGATTAAACTATGATAACCACCGGGATGCCTAGTTTTTTTGTTAACCACCGGGATGCTTTGGTTTCTATCAGTGGCTCTTACCCAAAATTTAAAAATTAAAATTTGAAATATTTGAGATAAATTGGCTGTTATTGAACTTATTAGCCGAGATGTTAATCAACTCGATATTGAGCTTTTCTTAGCTCAAGTTTGGTTATAGTTGACTTTTTCTCTGACTTTCCAACCCTGGTTTTAGTTGATAAATGTTTGACTTTTGCCTCAATTGCCACCATGACCTCCGCTGGTGACCTCTACTCTAAATGTACTTAATGATTTTGCCGTTCTAGTTTTTTTTTTAGAACTTTGAAGAAAAACTGTGCTCATTTGATTTTTTTTCGGATTCCAGATAACCTGAGCTCAAAGAAAAAATAATCCGCTGCGTTTCTTTTAAAATTAATGTTGGGTATAAATAAACAAGACTGCTCGTATCAGGGCAAAGCCCTGAATGTTCCGACTGCTTTTTAAGGTTTTATGGTGCAGTAATAACATTAAAAAATTAAATGTAAAAAAAAAAATAAAATGAAAATTTTTTATTTCTAAAATTTGAAATTTTTATGAAAATAATCCCCCCACACGCCTTATAAAGTAAAGGATAAATTTTGCTGCTTATAACAAAACAATTATGGCAAATAAGCGTCTTTCAACCAATTTGGAACAATTTTAAGACGGATTAACTCTCCGCTTACGCGTTAATAGCTCGAAATATATCGCGAGATAATTGTCCCAAATTGGCCAAAACGGCAATCTTTAAACCCCCATAACTTTACGAAAAAAGATCACAGGTAAAATATCTTTTCAAATTTGAGCTCAGGACAACAATAGCTTTCCGATGATAAAACAAAAATCCGTCAAAAATGGCTAGTTAAGAAGTCGAAATTTGTCTGAAGAAAAAAAAACCCACCGGATCAAAATTATTCCGTTATTTTCGTATCGAAAGTCGGATCAAAAAAGCTAAAGGATAAAAACGGTGCATATACAAAACAGTCCCATACAAAACAGTCCAATACAAAATAGTCCTAAAAATCATGTAATGGAGGAAAAAACAGTCCAATACAAAACAGTCCGGTTTAGATACGAAATAACCGGCTCTAAATTTCGTATTAAGTCCTGCCCTCTGTTGGCAAGCTCGCAACACGTTGGCGCGACTGCGGCGGTCACTATTTTCTCATTAGGCTTATTGAACAAAGGACAATTCTCGGCCTGCCGACTTGTTAAAACAATTAGGACTTGGGACTGTTTTTCGGACTGTTTTGTATTGGACTGTTTTTTCGTTCATTTTCATACTTTTCCGACTGTTTTGTATTGGACTGTTTTGTATGGGACTGTTTTGTACAGACACGATAAAAACTGCCTTGTAATATTGTCAAGTCAATTTTCATTGTTTTTTAAATTGTTTTTTTAATTTTTTTTGCAGTGGTGAAGTTGCAAGCGGCTGCTCTGATGCAGCAAATGGGCTTCGTGGAGCCGAGACAACTACCGGTCGAACAGTTGAACGAGTGTGTCGGCAGAGACATCCCCCAAGAGTGCATCAGTTGGCAAGAGTCCGGTGAGTTCATGTTGTTTTTAATCCGACAGTTTGAAAAATGGTGAGGAATTGTTGTATTCGGGAATTTGTTTTTTTTTGTTTTCCACGCAAAATCAGGTAACAAAAGTAATTATCGGAATATGACAAGTGATATATCATATTGAAGCATTTTTAGTCGTGATTTGAACAACATAAAGTTTTATAAAAATTTTCTCTGTGTCGAGAAAAACCCGTTTGAAGTTTTTGATTTTTGGTTTAATTTTGAGCGAATAAAGCGAGCGCGAAGGCTTATTTATGCTCAATTTAAGCGTTCCCAATAACCTGTTTATGCTTAGTTTTAGTTTTGGTTAAAGTTTTTTAAAACTATTTTGGGAATCAAAAATTCAAAAAAGTCTATCAAAAAAAATTGATTAAGTTTTAGCCATTTTTTGTTTTTCTTGTCATTTTTCTAAAAAACTGTTGTCCAGTTTGCTTATTTTGCTTTGACTGTTGAAAATGCCTAAGCTTTAGTTTTTCGTCTAAATCCTTTGATTACTCCACGCAGAAAAAAATACTAATTTGAACAAAAAATTTGTTTTTATTTTTTAAGACTATGGTCGGCACATTCTGTGCTACTTGCTTTGTAACCGGCTATCCTTGTTTTTGGTTATAGCTGTTGTCGTGGCATCATCATGTTTGCTTATTGCAAAATAAACGGTTAAAAAGTTTTGCATTTAACTATTTTCAACCTTCGAAAAATACATTTATTTTCCATCAGTGGTAGAAAATGCTCGTATTACGTTCTACGCTCTTCCATTCTCTCCTATGCCTTTGGGAATTCACGGCATAGGTCATATTGTGTCTTAAGTAGAGTTAGTTGATTGGTGGAAATGCCTTTTAGAGGGAAGATTCCTTAAAGTTTAGCAGAAGTTCAACTAAATTATAACCAAATCATTAGCTTTACTTTTTCGGTCAACAAGTCTGCTCTAAAATACGTGCTCTTATATTACTCATTTTACCATCTGAAAGAAGTTCCCAATGAATTTTTAGCTCCGTAACTTTTGATGTTTTTGTGGAATGTATTATTGTTAATAACTTTCATCATCTAAACTAGCAAAATATGATGATACAAGATCAATGCTGTTTTTCAAGATGTATATTAATTTTTCAGAAGTTGAGACGAATTCGCAGTGGTCAGCGTGTGTAAATGGCGTGTTGGAGACGGCGGACGGCAAGAGGGGCGTGGCCCTGAAGTTCCTCACAGAAGCCGCTCATCAGAGGGATTTTTTGATTGAGGCGGCCACCATGAGTCAGCTAACTCATCCCAATGTACTCATGCTTTATGGAGTATCCATAAGTGGTGAGTTTCTTTTCTTTTTTGTTTCATTTCTTAAAGCAGCCGAAGGTTGTCTGCCCGAAAATTATTTACGCAAGTTAAAATTAGCAATGACTTACTTTCAAGAGTTCACATTGAATATTGCTGCGCACCATCCCATTTGAGTAATTTATGTTCCGTTTTTTGAAAAAAAAATATGGAATATTTGAGCTCTTTTTTTGAGAGATTTTTCTTCTAAAAAATAGGAAAAGCTGATTAAATCGACGTTTTTTACACTGTGTTTGATTTCTTCAAGTTTTTTTTTTCAGTTTGTTCAAAAAATTTTGGTTTTGAAACCTTACTGCAAACGAGTTTTTTAGGCTCAAGTTAATTTGATGAAAAACTAAATTGGAATTTACCGATTGTTATTTGCTGATATTTGATTTTTTTTTAATTTTTGTAAGTATCGAATGATCAGTTAATTTTTAAATCTTTTCGAATACTGCTGTGTTTTTTATGTGTATGAAATTAAATGATTGAAAAATCGATAAGACACAGAATATGCTTCTTAAATAAGCGATGCTAATTAAGAAGCTATCAGATAAAATCACCAATTTTTTGAAGTCCTTATATTTTTCGTAGCTCACCTAAAAACAGTGGCCAACACGTACTTCGAAAATATTGACGTAGTTGAGTACTTTCGAACATATCTTCACTGGGTCGCAAATCTAAATCTGGCTTATTTAGTGATCTGGACTACTTTTCGAAAGTCATTCAGTCGCGCCAAGTGGCATGTTGCATGTCGAGTCGCGCTAGTTAGTACAAGTTATTACCAAGTTATTACAGACAGCTAGCCAGCAGCGAATGCAGAGCGACTGTATTACGTTCAAATCCGGCGTAGGAGACTGCTGGTCTGTTTAGAAAACGATTGAACAAGTTGTAAATTGTTTTGATTGCTTCGATAGTCTGTTTTTTCACCTAGCAGGACACTTTTAGCTGTGGCTTTAAACTAGAGATGGCTCACTTATTAAATATTAATCTGTTTTCATAGAGCAAGTGACAGCATCATTATCACGTGTGCGACTCTTCAATCAAACGTCAAGTGGCCTATAAACCAGTTAAAGTTGTTGATTGAAAAAATATAAATCGAGATCAAGTCTCATAAAATTAATTAAGCTATAGAATAAAAAGTAAAATAAAATTTTTTCACCACTTATTTAACCGAATCTAACACAAATGTTGATAACTGGGCTATAAAAAATAATCATTGTAATCAATGACATAATCGAATGATAAACAGGTCCCACAGCGAGTTTCGAACTTTTGTGTGTTCAAAAACATACATTTTTTCATGTTTTTTTTTATTTCAGATTTGCAGCAGCCAATTTTGGTCACTGAAATAGCCGAAATGGGACCTCTTAACTTCGTTTTGCAATCCCACCCCGCCAAATTTTCTACGACTCAAATCGTGCACATGTTGCGAGGCGTCGCGTGCGGCCTACAGTACCTCTCGGAACTCGGCTACGTGCACAAGGTCATTGCGGGCTCAAACGTCCTCGTGACCAAATCACAGGTGTGCAAGATTGCTGGATTCGAAACAAGAGTTAAAATGGAGGAGCAAATGCAAATTAGCAACGGGGAAAGTGAAATTTTGGAGTCGCTAGCTCCGTGGTGTGCGATTGAAGTGCTCCGCGCGAGACACTTTTCATCGGCTGGCGATGTGTGGAGTTTCGCCAGTTTGATGCTAGAATGTTTCTCTGGAGGTCAACATCCAATGAGCGGAGCAAGTTCTTCAGAGGTAATTTTTATGGCAGACAGAAAAATACAGATTTGACACAAAACTTTATTTTTTTTTCAGTTTGAGGGTTTATCGTTACTCATCCACGTATTATTCATGTTGTAATACATTTTGAAAACTAAATGCAACTATCAATTTCAATGTTGAAAACTTGAACCGTATGAAGTCTGAACGTAAATTTGGGCATAAAACCACTGGGATAATTTTGAGTTTTTACTGTTTTGATGTTTTTCTTTTCGTTTGCGAGCGTAAAAATCAGAGCGGTCATGTTCGAACCAACATTTTATAACGAAGTCCTGGAAAGTGTTAGTTGTTTCCGCAATGCATTAAGTTGCCCTCGATGGAGTGTTGTTCTAGACAGCGGTGGTGTCTCGGTGATAGTAATGTGAAGTGAGACGACGCATCCGGTGCAAAAATGTGCTGAGTTGCTTTTGCCCCAAATTTAGTGAAAAATCGGGTGCATTTATCTGTTTTCATCCCACTTATCCAGTCAGGAAAAATTTATCCATGTAAAATTGTGCAAACAGACCATTATTTGGGACATTTGACTGTACTTTTTTAAATTTAGTCAGCAAAAATTGCTAAAACTAAAGAGCGCCGTACAGTTTCATGTTCCATGCAATCAATTTTTACATCTTTGGAGTTCTACGTTGAAAATTGTGGTTTTGTGACTAGTTGTGAACTTGTGATCTAACATGCGCTAAGCTTCGCTCAGAAATGTATAAAAATTCGACATTGATGAGAACAAGTTTCGACCAATTTAATATATTTATTTATTGTGCCTCCTTGTTGTTCCGACTTTCGATACGAAAGTAACGGAATATTTGTGCTCGGGGTGGGTTTTTTTCTTCAGACAAATTTCGACTTTTTAACTAGCCATTTTCGACAAAAAAATTTTTATATCATTCGAAAGGTATTGTTGTCCTGAGCTTAAATTTGAAAAGATATTCTATCTTTGATCATTTTTCATAAAGTCATTTGGGTTAAAAGATTGCCATTTCGGCCAATTTGGTACAATTAACGCGCGATATACTTCGCGCTATTAAAGCGTAAGCGAATATTTAATCCGTCTAAGAAATTGTTCCAAATTGGTTGAAGGAAGCTTATTTCCCAAAATTGATTTGTTAATAGTAGCAAAATTTCTCATTTTTTACTTAATATAGCGGGTGGGGGGATGTTTTCACAAAAAGTTTTAAATTTAAAAAAAATCTTTTTATTTCATTACATTTAATTTTTTTATGTTATTACAGATTTTTTTTCGTTTCATTTTTTCATTTTAATACCATAGACCTTAAAAGGCAGTCACATCATTCAGGGCTTCGCCCTGATACGAGCAGTCTTGTTTATTTTAAAAACTAATGGCTGGTTTCTTGTGTAGTTTTCTGATGGTTTGACTTTTTTGTCTTCAGGTCATCAAGATGATAGAGCAAGGTCAGCGTCTCTCTTCTCCCAATGACCTTTGCACTCCCGCAATACACGAGTTGATGAGTGCGTGTTGGGCTAAAGAACCGAAACAGCGACCCCCTTTCAGTGCCATCAGACAACACCTGGAAGAGCTGATGACCAGTTCCAGACACCTCGCTTCAACCACTGTGCTGGGTGGGGGAGGGGGAGGTCCCTTAGGGGGAGTTGGCGTCAATGCATTTATGAATGGGGGCAGTGCAACTTTATTTCATCCTGCGCAGAATAATAACTATTTCTCGTAAGTTGATTTTTTTTTGCTTGGGTGCTTCACCAACCCGTACCATGGTTTTCTACTTGAATACTTTTATGACAATTATACTTACTTATAGTTGTATGGACCTTAGTTTTGACTGTTAAGATTTTATCGCGGTACTAGCTTTCTACTAATGGCAAAAAAATGGTGCAAATAGCAAAAAAAAATCATATCAATAAAATCTCATCATTCAAAAAGTTGGGTTAAATAGTGAGCTTTTTAGACAATTTGATCGATTTCAATTGTCTGGATTTTTTCTGCATTTCAGTATTCTGTTATGCGGGTAACCCCACGTCCACCAGACCTTTTATTTGTTGTTTTTGTTTATCCTCTTTATTGTTTTATTGTTTGAGTAATCAATTCTCTATTGAACTTTTTTCGATGCGCGGTTGAGCAATTAGGCAATCACGTAATTAGCAAAAAGGCGCGCTGAATCTTGAGTTGACGATATAGAAATAGAACAATGTTTTATAAACTACGAGAAATTAAAAGGTTTGTTATCAAAACGTGTTTGGGGATGAAATGTCTTACTGAGGAAAGAACTTCCAGAGTTTAATTAGACCAGTGATTTGCAGGTCCATAATAGCGCCTCGGTTGTTATTGTTGCAGCAACACCTATGATTATTATTGACAATAATGTTGTCGCCAAAACTAACTAATTATTATTTATTAATCGATGATTTCCAAAAAACTCAATGCATGATGTTCGAATCGGGATTCAATCTCTAGTCAACAAGTTTAATAAAAAAAATTTTTTTTCCAAAAAAAAACCAAAACCTTTAGGTCGACCAAACTCCAATCTTTCATTAAAACTATAGTGTTATAACCTTATTAGTATAACCTTAATATAACCTTATTTTTCCAAAATCTGCTGCGCTGCAGCCAAATTTTTTGAAGAGCAGGCCAAAGATACTTCTTTTTGGCTAGAGAAAAGTGGTGCCTTATGTTTTATGGCGCGCACTTCCATCCAAAGTTACTGTACGTTTGGCACCATAAAATTCTGTTTAATCGACGAAAAGGGGATGTAAAATTGTACCAAAGGGGGCTCTTTGGGTGGTCAAGGATCCGAATCCCTGGTCATTGTTGGCTGTATACAACAGGATCTCTCAATTGAATAACTCATAGTTTAGAGTCCTATCATGGATAAAACTAGTTTAATTTGACCTCCTTTTAATTAAACACAATCTATCTAAGCTCTCGGTTTCGCTTATCAGAAGAAGATCATGAGTCACTAAGTTCGTTCCGATAACCGATCAGTATATTTGAACATAACTAATTACCTAATTAGACAAACTTCAGAATGGTCGCAGCGAGTTGACTACAGTTATGTAATTTTGTTTATAATCCATTCTCTAATCTCAGGGTTTTTGGATTGCCTTGGAGATATCTGGAATACTGGAATGAATGAAGGCATCATTGTTACGTAGTTAATAGGGTTTCGTAATTAGATGACATTTGAATGAAGTTTTTAAATTCAAAGCAATTAGGCGGGCCATTGAACAGGCACGATTAATTGAAGTGGATATAAATATAATTTTTGTTGCAAAGCTGCAAAAATTATGGATCTCAAAATTTAAGGATCCAGTTCACTTTTACTGGCAAAAGAATCTCAAAAATTTTGAGCCTCACGCGCTGACACCATAAACAAGCAAATTGAAATCCGTCAAAAAGACGAAGAAACATTTATATGCTATTTAAAGTACCTTGCATACAAAGATCTTACATGCAAAGTTTAGTTTGAGTTTTCTTGTTTACTTTAGATTTGGCAGATCCCAAAACGACCTCCTCGGAACATACTGTAGGTTCCAACCTGGAAAACCCGGACATCAAGCTAGTCCTTCAAACCCGACAGTCCAAGAGATGCTGGCAGAACTGAAACTAGAAGAAAAATATCTGACACTTTTTGAAAACAACAACTTCCGATATGTGGACGAACTCACGAAGGACATTTCGAAAGAATTTCTCAAAATTCTCGGAATTTCTTCGAAAAAAGACCGACATAAAATTTTGAACCATATTCAAAACCACAAACGATCTTCATCAGCTTTTAACTCAATGTCGATCCCAAATTCGCCTTTAAACTACAACAACGGAACGACCACTCCCATGAACTTGTACTCCTTTTGAGTTAAAAAAAATTAAAAACTTTGAAAATAAAACTTAAAAAATATCTTTATTTGCCGTTTATTTTCGATTGGGGCTGTTTTATGTAATACCCGGACGATTTATATTACGCAATTAAAACTTAGCTCGTTTTTACTATCTATACTTCAAGGTTTTTTGCTTCTATATATCTGCTCATTATCTTCAATTATATTTTTCCACTTCAATTTTGCGAATCAGTTAATGTTAATTCAACTTTGTATCTAATCTGTTTTTTTTTGTAATGATTAAATTTTCTCGGGAGAAAATTTAAGTAGTTTAGTCGAAACGCTTGTTTCATTTTTTCGTTGAAGTTTGTTTTTCGAGATTTCGGCTAGTAAGCACTTCCATTCCATTTCATCTGCTTGTAACATTGTTAAATCAGCAACATTTTTTTCTCTGCTGTTTACATATCTTTATTGATGATTACTTGAATAGAATTTCATAAATTTCTGTTTCGACATCTTCTTGTCTTCTTGCACCAAAAAAGCTTAGACAAGGAGCTGGTTTAAGGGCGCGTGCTTCCTCTTCTCAAAGAGGGATTCGACCCACTGATCACCTAAAGCATCCACCCCTAGTTATTATTTTTGCCCCACCAACGCGGAGACTTTTCTGGAGCGCGTCAAAAAAACGCAATTTTTGTCCAAAACAGCTTTCTTGCCCTGTTTTTTGACAATTTCGCCAGCTTTCGCAAAATAGGTACTCTGCAAGAACTGGAAAAATCAATATAGTTGACCAAGAAAAAATAAACACAATTTTAGAACATTTTTGGAAGTCCTCTCCCACACTGAAGAAAATCTTCAAACCACCCTTAGTTTAGATTCTCCCTTTTTACTTAAACAAAGCTTTTGTTATAGTATGAATTCTCTTTTTTCCAACCTAAGTCGCAAATATTGTTGCGACGCAAATATTGTTGCGACAAAATGTGTTCAGTTTGGAAGTGTTAATTTTGATAAATAACCAGCTATTAAATACAGCCAATGCTAAGGATAATAACACAGACTATTAAATTACAAATAGCACTCAAGCTTCAAGGTATCATTGATCTATAGCTTAGAGGTAGGGAAGGAGACCCGCAACAAAATAAGAGGGTTTGAACCTGGGTAGGGTCGGATGTTTTTAATGAAATTTTCGTATCTAGTTAAAATGCGACCCTTCTATAAATTGAGGCACGTTAGTTGGTAAATTTCTTTTTTTTTTTCAAATTGACTGGTACTGCTAATGCGTCATAATTGGCTTGCGTCACTTCGCAATTATGTAGGCCAATAATTGGCGCGCATCACTTGTAGACTTAAAGTTTTACTCATTATTTATTTCGCAGTAGCGTTATCGGTCATATTTTTGCTTGTGTATGCAAAGTGCAACATCGCCTCTGTGTCCAACTTCAACAAACTCTTACTCATTTTTTGAATTTGCGAGAGCAAGTGTCTTGTAATGGGGAACAAAATTTTTTCCGGTCCACAAACTTTCAACTTGCTTCAATATTGAATGTTAATAACTTACAGGTTCCTTCCCACTTGGACTACAGTCAACACCTTCTCCTTGGCACTCTGAGGTCTGAGTTTCTAGTCCCGGTGGGACCTTGTTTCTTCAATATATGTGCAATTGAAAAGTTTTCATCGGTAAAAATTGAATTGTGGGATTATCGTTTGTCTGCTCAAGTTTTGTCAGCCTAGTTGCCATATCACTGATTCTTCTTGTAATCTAAAGAACTTAAACTGTAGTTGCAAGTACGCGTGCTGTTTTTTGTAGTTCCAATAGAGACTTGAACCCTAAAAAAAATTGTAAAGTCATTTCTTTTTCGGCTCAGTTTTTGTCTGCTCAGATAATCTCCTTGTAAAAACTGTTTCTTTGCTAAGTTTTTTATTCAAATGTCTGGCGTGTTTGCTTATATTGAGCTCCTATCAAGATTTATAAAAATTCTAATTTTGGTAAACCTATTTTTTTCAACTTTTTAAAGTTTTTTCGACTTCTTTTGTTTTTTACTTTTGCATTGTATCGCAAATTGCGTGAAGCTCCGCTTCACCTCTGTATTACTCCGACGAACATTTTTGGCACAAATGTTTGTTCTTTTAGAATTTTTATATCGACTCTCAAACCATTGAAAAACCTATAGACTGAAGAAACGGGTAAGAAGCCAGTTTTAAGCCGCGGTAAAAATTGACGTAGATTTAGACAAAAAGTAAAAAGTATACGGGAAGTTATATGGGCAACAGAAGGGGGATGGAAATAAAGTACTTGGAGCAGAAAGAACTTTTCTACTAACTATTGCGCATAATCGACTATGAAAACTAAAGCATGACGCAAATTGCTGTGCTGAATTTTTGAGTTTGCGAAAACTTGGTTCAATCTACCTAATTTAATAAGAGTCACGATACAAAGAAATGGCAGCAGTTGATAATTAAATGATGAAAGCACAATTTTTGTTTAATATTTTTGTCGTTTTCTTTGTAAATAATTAATAATTAAAATAATCAATTGAACGTGAAAAAAAAATTTAAAACAAAATATTCGAAATTAAGTTTTTTAAAAACGTTGCTTGTAGTTTGTTGATTGGTCATCCAAAAAAAACTCGTTTGGTCATTCCAAAAAATGTTTGGTGATTCAAAAGTTTGTTCATTGGAAAATTAAGGATTTTGTTGTGCTGTGTTGTGCTGTGTTTCAAAAGTAGTTGTTTCAAAAAAGTTTGAAAAATTTAATTTTAATTTTTAATAACTATTCTCCTCATAATTGCCTTTCAATTAACAAACAAAGAAACGGACAATTTTATCATGTTTTTATAGTTTTCTCTGTAACTACTTTAAATTCAAGTCATTTTGTTGTAAAAGAAATAAAAAAAAACAAAATAGTTGAAATTAAGTTTTTTCAAAACGCTGTTTGTAGGTTTTTGTTTGCTCATCTAGAAAAATTTGTTTGGTCATTCAAAAAACTACTTGTTCATTTACAAAAAAGATTTGTTCGGTCATTCAAAAAACTGTTCAGTTTTGCGACCCAAGCAATGATTGGATAAGTTGTTTCTAAACAAACAATTGAAGACTTTTGCGTTTTTGTTGTAAAAAGTTAAAATGAACTGAATTCATCATAAGTCAAATTTTCAGTGATAATTAGTTACAACAGAACGCCAGCCAGATTTCAAAAATGAAATTTGCAAGAGAGCCTTAAAAATTGCCATTTGTTCGTTCTGTGAAGTTATTTGGACAGACAGTCAAAATTTGATTCCAGAAAAAAAGAGCACGATTGCGTTTCACGTGAACTAAACTCATCAAAACATTCTGAGAATGAAAATTTCAATTTTAAAAGAAGTTTTATCTCAATTTTTGTGGATATTGAGTGTCAGCTTGAACAATTTCAAAGTTTTTGTTATTTCGGGTAGAAAAGATGGAAAAGCGGTTTGTTTGATATTTAATATGATAATTCAGAAAGTTTAATATTTAGCTTAAAATCGAGTTTCTTGTCACGGAAAAAGTTCACGCATGTCATTACGAGGCCAGACTGTGCATTTTGTTATCTATAAGCGGATTTTGCAACAGGAAAAAATCAGATTTGTCGCGGAATCCGCAACTTTGCAATTTTTCTTTCATCTTCTCTACTGTTTTGTTTTCCACGGACAAATAGCTAGAACACTGTAGTGCAAAAAAATTGCTCCAAAATCAGGCAATTTTTTGGAATCCGCAACAAAATGTGTGGAATCCATGAACAAATAACAAAATTTATGTTTAGTAAACTTGAGCTGTCGCGGAACCCGCAACTGTAAGTTGAATCCCTAAATTGTAAGTAGAACCGCAAATTGTAAGCGGAATCCGCATAAATTTGCGGAATCCAGTAACATTTGCGGAATCCGCTTACGTTTGCGGAATCCGGATCAACTACCTTTATTCGCTCGTTGCGGAATCGGCAACAAAATCATTGCAATAATTGTCTTCCAAACAACAAACAAAGAAATGTACAAATTTATTATGTTTTTTTTTGAATAGTTTTCTCTGTAACTACTTAAAATTCAAGTTATTTTATTGTGAAAGAAATATGTAAAACAAAATAGTTGAAATTAAGTTTTTTCAAAACGCTGTTTGTAGGTTTTTGTTTGCTAATCCAGAAAAATTTGTTTGATCATTCAAAAAAGTGTTTGTTCATTTACAAAAAAAACTGTTCGGTCATTCGAAAAACTGTTCAGTTTTGCGACCAAAACAATTTTTGGATAAGTTGTTTTTAAACAAACAAGTGAAGACTTTTGCGTTTTTTTTTTGTAAAAAGTTAAAAAGAACTGAATTCTTCATATCCCCAACTGTAAGTTGAATCCTTAAATTGTAAGTGGAACCGCAAATTGCAAGCGGAATCTGCAAGTTGTAAACGGAATCTGCATAAATTTGCGGAATCCAGTAACATTTGCGGAATCCGCTTACATTTGCGGAATACGGATCAACTACCTTTATTCGCTCGCTGCGGAATCGGCAACAAAATCATTGTGCCGACAAAATGTACCTTGCAGGTATTTGTAGGGGAATTCGCTGAAACTTTGTAAGCGGATTCCATTTACATTTTGGAACATGTTTGAAGACTTACTTGTCTCTGGAATCCAGGAACATACAGACACAAATTGTGCGCCTATCCAGTGCACAGTTTGGCCTCGTAATGGTGACCGAAACTTTATGCTGTTTTCAAATAAAGTTCAACTAAGGGTTGGTTTCAATATACAGTTTTAAAGCTAAAGTAAATGCAAATATCAATTTACCAAGCCATTCAAAAAAGCATTGGACGGCAAATTAATTGGGCCAACTATCATGGCAAAGATTTGAATACAGTTTGCTGGGATATCGGCTCTCTTTTCTCATGGATATTTGATATGGCATCATTTTTTAAATTGGAGTTCCGACAATTGAACTTAGGGAGGAAATTTGGATACGGGTGTGATTCATTTTTTTCTTCCACACAAAATAATCATCCGAATGGGTCGAGTATTGTATCTTTTTGATGCCCTTTAAACCTCTATTCAAACAACATCAACTTTTTCACTACTTTCCCACTATTAGAAAAAGCTGTTTAAAAATTTTGAGTTTGCACATTTCTGCACAATTAAATCTACAATTTTTGTTACTTCAGGCAGAAAAGATTGAAAAACTTTTTTTAAAATAAATTGTTATAAGATAAATTTGAAAAATAATAATTAGTTCAACCGAAAAAAGAAACTTAGT